GGTAAATGTCGGTCGAACGGTTTTCAGGAACCGCGCCGTTGGGCCCCTTCTCCACAAGCGCCCCCAAACCCCAGGAAAACTGTGTTCGTCATGATCCTGGGCTAAAGTCTCTTCGTGCGGTTGCTTGATGATTTCGAACCATGTATTAAAAGTCCCCAACAACCCTCATCTCTGTTTACAGTAACCCACACCGGCACCAGCCTCTGAACAAGGTTGAATCAACACTCTCTTTTCGCTCTTTGACTCACCATCTATGAGACAATAATCCTGTGTCATGGCGAATTACGACGACGGCTATGCAGCCGAAAAGGTTGACTCCCAACATGACGCCAAACACCTCGAAGTCAGTGCCGACTCTCAGCTGGCACTTGCTGCCGACTTTGAAGACCATGAGATGGGCATCTGGAAGTCGTTTGTCCGTTACCCATGGGCATGTGCTTGGTGTGTTTACGCCTGTTGGACTATCATCCTACTCAGCTTCGACGTTCAGGCCGCAGGTGCGGTCGTGGGGATCCCCGAATTTCGCAAGGACTTTGGTTACGAGTTCAACGGAGACTATGTCCTTCCAGCTATCTGGCAGTCTGCCTTTAGCGGCGCACCTATTGCCACGTACGTATGAAACTTTACGGTTATGATGTTATGCAAGTTGTACTAACTTCATCCTCCAGTGCCGTGATTTCTTCGATCGCCTCCGCCGAGCTCGCCGACTACATTGGCCGAAAAAAAGTCCTGGCCCTGGCTCTCATCATCTCCTTTGTTGCTGTTGCTATTGAGTTCATCGCAACGACGAATCCAGTCTTCTTTGCCGGAAAGCTTCTAAATGGTTTCATGGTTGGTGCTGTTGGCACTATTATGGTAAGCTATATTGGAGAAATTACACCGCTGGCTCTCCGCGGTATCTTCACTTGCGGAGTCGGTGTTGCCTACGGAATTGGACCTCTCGTTGCTTTCATTGTTATCAACTACACTGGCACCGTCGAGTCTCGCTGGGCCTACCGTACCGTTTTCTGCTGCCAATTCGGCTTTGCTGGAGTTTCAGCAATTCTTTGGCCGTTCATGCCTGAGTACGTTCCTAATCCTTTGCGCAGACCATACATCTCTGAATTGACTAACCTACCTTAGGTCTCCGTGGTGGCTAGTATCCAAGGGGAAGAAGGACGAAGCCCTTAAGAGTCTTGGAAGACTTGGACACTCTGGTAATGAGGGCAGAGCGAAACTCGCTCTTATTGAGCGTACATTGGATGAAGTGAAAGCCGAAACAGACGGTGTCACCTACCTGGAGTGCTTCAAGAAGTCAAACTTGAGGAGAACCATCATCAGCATCATGCCTCTATGCATTCAGAGCTTCAGCGGAATCGCCTTTGTTGCCAGCTATTTCACTTGTCAGTATCCCGCCTTCTCACAACTCTATATTCGAGGCATCATTCCTCATTAAAGCAACGATATTAACAATTCGCTCTTTAGACTATCTTCAGCTCGCCGGTTATTCTACTTCGATGAGCTACCAGCTTCAGATTGCTCAGCCCGTTCTGTCAATTGTTGGCAACTTGATGGCCGCCGCTGTGATTGACAAAGTCGGCCGAAGAAATCTTACGTTCTACGGTTTGGCCATTCTCACAGTCTTCCTCTTGGTTACAGGCGGATTGGGAACGGGCACCAGCCAGCCCATGATCAAAGGAACCGTCGCGTTCATTCTCATCTACAGCTGGTGGTATAACGTCTCCATCGGATCAACCGCCTTTTCTCTGCTTGCCGAAGTGTCGACTTCTCGTCTGAGAGCTAAGACCGTCGCCATTGGATATGCATCGCAAAACTCTATCAACGTTATGTGGCAATTCGTTATCCCGTATATGTTCAACCCGGACAAGGCCAACCTCGGCGCCAAGATTGCCTTCATCTTCGGTGGCTTGTGTCTCTTTTCCCTGGCATATCTTTGGCTCTTCCAGCCTGAGACTGGCGGTCGCTCCTACGAAGAGCTTGACGAAATGTTTGCAAAGGGCGTCCCAGCGAGGAAGTTCAAGTCGTACAAGACGACTGTGCAGTTGCGAAATGAGACATCTGCACAAATGGAAGTCATTGACGTGGCTCACGAAACGTGATACCTTACAGTCAGCCAGAGCTATATATCATTTGGATACCTGGAATAATATCTTTGCAGGATTATTAGTAAAAAAAACTAGCGATTAATTCAAGTAATTGGTTTCAACTCCTCATGGTCAATGCTGGCACGCTGATGGATTGTGGGACAATTTGTTCTTGCGAACTCAACCGTTGAAGCCTTTGCGCAAGCTCAAGTTCCGTTCCTTGGGGTTAATGTAACAGTGTTTCCTTCTGCGCATTTCTGAGACTTTCCTGAAGCCAATAAGGCCAAGCGCGTATCGCGGTCGCTCTGGCGTATTCCCCTGGCAAGTAAACATGGCCGCTACGGCCAGACACAATCTGCTTGAAGATGGCATCCACAACTGGTTCCGGCTCAAGTATCTTTGATTTGAAGGGGCCCGAGCTGTGCACCTTTTCGATCAAAGCTGTCCTTATGTAGGTCGGATGAATGATACTATTGACGTGCTCAAATCAGCCTTTTGCAGCTTGCTAGCTTGTCATTCTTGTGATTGCTCACCTTGTGCGCACTCTCGGTGCTTTATACCGATGTCTGATCTCCTGAGCCAATCCTTCATGAAGTCCCAGAGCGCCCATCTTGGAACATGAGTAGTCCACGTTGTGTACACCCGTCACAAAGCTCGCCATACTTGCGACTGTGACGACATGGCCATGGTTGTTGTGGATCATCGAGGGTAAGAATTCTTTGATCAGGAGGAAGCTGGCAATGATGTTGACGTCAAAAACGTGACGAATTTGTTCCTCGGTCTCGTCTAGAATCGAGGCTATCTTCATGACGCCTGCATTGTTCACCAATACCGTAGGGTCACCGTGATCTTGACGGATTTGGCTTGCGACCTCCTTGATCGACTTGCTTGATGTGATGTCCACTTCGTAGAAGTACGCGTTCGACGCTGACTGCAGCTTCAGCGGAAATACTCATGAGAGATAGTTCAAGAACGCAGACCAGACTTACGTAGCGGAGTTCTCGGCGGAACAATATCGAGACTTATGACTTTGATACAATTCTTGGCCAGCTTGCGCACCAGCTTGTCTCCAAGGCCTCCAGATCCACCGGTAACTACGACGAGCTCCCTTCGCCAGTCGTAGTTATCTTGAGTGAAGTTGTTAAGAGTCGCTTGACTCAGGAGACCATTGGTCTTTCGAAGGGTTGCTATACCGAGCAGCAAGGCCAGAACGAATCTCGGCCACCCACGCCGGAAGACTAACTTCAGGATGCCTGGCGTTTTGAAGTTTCGGAACAGCTCGATAAGCTTCCCAGATAACGCGGACTGGGCAGTCGAGGAAGACATTGTCACTGAAGCTGTCCAAAATCGTCAAAGGAGAGGTTTTAGGCCAGTCGCCTGATACTATTCGCCGAACATCCTCTGCCCTATATCCTTCGGATCGACGGATGGACAGCGAAGCCGGCGGGCAATAACCGCTCTCCGTCTGATACTTCCCCGCAATTGCAACGTCCACTTAGGTTCAGGATAGCTCCCTCACCATGTAACACCTCCGCATAACAAGCCGAGGCTCAATTGAGTCCGTGCAAATGGTCGTGCGACATTTATGCATGCCTAGAAACCGAGATGCCATTCGACCCTGTGGTTCGCCGAGCAAGAAACCACGACATACCTGGATGAGTCTCGCGTTAATCAAAATCGAACGCGAGCTCGCATAAGACTCTTTTTGAGGACCTGAGACTCCTCCACTGTCATGAAGCCTCAGACGATATCAGCATGGGCTACACTATCGAAGATCGGTTCATCACGTCTAGCCGGAATGGCCAAAAGATTGCCATTTCCATATACAAGCCCGATGGAATAAAACACCCTGCACCCGTCATCGTGATGGGCCACGGCATCGGCGCCATCAAGGCCGCCGGCCTCACCCCTTTCGCAAGCCACTTCACTGCCGAGGGCTACACTGCCGTTACATTTGACTACCTAGGCTTTGGCGACAGCGAAGGCTTCCCACGGAACGTTCTCGATGTCGGGAACGAGCTGCAAGACTTCCGCGATGTCATCAAGTGGGTTCGGGAGCCGGATCAGAGTACGTGGGTCGACTCATCACGAATCGTTGCGTGGGGAAGCAGCTTTGGCGGCATGCACACCACCGCTCTCATGGCCGAAGATCACGAGCTGGCAGCCGGTATAGCGCAGTGTCCGCTCGTTGACGGGTTGGCTGGTGTGATGCAGATGCCGCTGCTCCGGTCTTTGAGACTGGCGACAACGGCTGCTGCTGATATCGTCGGTTCGTATATTCTAGGAACCAAGGAGCCGAAGTACGTCGACCTCATTAGCGATGGTTCCACCACGGCTGTCATGGCTTCACAAGAGGCTTATGATGGTTGGAATCGCTTATCGCCTGGTGACGGACGAGACTGGCCTAATGTGATCGCTGGGCGGTCTCTTCTCAACATCATGATAAATCGGCCGCTGTTACACATACACAAAAGCACTCGCCCATATTTAGTTGTTCTTCCCACATGGGACAATGAAGCATCCTTAGGTGCTGCGGAGGACTGCGTTAAACGTGCTCCTTTTGGAGAAGCGTTGAGGGTTGATGGTGGTCACTTTGATTTATACAAGGGGGGAATCGCGTTCGAGAAGAATATTGCTGGGCAAAAAGAGTTTCTTAGACGTGTACTGAAGGCTAAGTGAGCAATTTTTTACCTTACTGTCTCTCTTAGGTTGAGCGCAGTTGAAGGAGTCGAACTTTTGATACTTCTGGCGTCAAAGGCAGTAGACAGTTGGAATCATTGATCATTATTATTCAGGGAATGATAGTTGAGAAAAAAAACTTGATCAGATCTTTTAATTCTACGCTATGCTGGTTCCATCAAAACAGAGGAAACATTCGCTCATCAAAGGAAATACAACAGCGTTCAAACGCTCTCTTCAAGACACGATAATGCTATCGATAATGACTGGAGCAGCGTATGACCCGGCATCCCAGGTGAAACCTATGGAAAGGGTACCGCTGGCTGCAGTGGGAGTAAAGGTGAAGCTGTATTGTCTGTAACCACCCGCGTTGCTGTAGGTCGTCAAGCACGGGTAGCTAGAACTGCCGCAAACCGTTGACGGGCCCATTATGGTATCGCCCCAAGCAACGTAGACCTTCGCATTGTCCTGTTTTCTAGCAGAATCAAGACGGCCTGCATAGAACGTTACGGTCCTAGTGGCTCGAATGGGCAGGCCGGTGATGGATTGATAGATGTAAGCCTGGCGGTTTGAAGTTCCGGACGGGTACAAGGCGCTTTGTGATTGTATTAGCTAGGTACTCGCTTGATGATAGTGTCTACTGCTGGCGCAGAGAGTTTCGTGACCTACAGAGCTGAGCAACCTGAAGCCTGATGGTTGTCTGGAATGACCGCTGACGTAACAGTATCGCTGGTTTGGTAAAGCGCAAAGCTCCAGCTGTTGAAGCCGCTATCAAAGCCGCCGTTCTGGACATAACCGCTATCTATATATTTGTCAGATCATTTGCAGCAGACTGAATTGTCGATCGAAAACACTCACTGATGGTTGCGCGGCATGTATTAGCCGAAGTAATTGAAGTAGACGAGGATGATGATGTCTTCGAAGATGACGAACTGGCGGCAGTAGTACTCGAAGAGCTCGTGGTGGTAATTATGGAAGTCTTCGTGGACGAACTGCTTGTACTGCTCGTAGTGCTAGTTGTGGTGGATGAAGCAGTTGAAGATGATATGGAGCTTGTCGAAGACTTTGAAGTCGTTGAAGGGCTCGAAGAAGAAGTCGAGGTGGATGAAGATGTTGACGAGACAGAGGACGAGGTAGATGATGCAGTGGGGCTTGTCGTAGACTTTGAAGTTGTAAAGGAGCTCGAGGTGGTTGAGACAGATGATGAAGTAGTGCTTGTCGAGGTTGTTGATGAGGTGGAAGAGGACGTCGAGCCAACCGGCAAAGTCAAAGAGCCCGAAGCATAGATGTTGAGGCGGTTGCTTCCGCCACAGAATTCTGCCGTGTTGCCCTTGCAAGGCATATCACAACCATCCGATGCCGCCACACCGCCGTTTCTGATCTGGCTATCACACCAACATTCCTGCGAGTACTCGACGCCGGCAACGGGGTATCCAGAAGCAGTGCAAGCCGAAATACATCCGCCGACAGACATGTTCTGTGTGCCACCAACGACGTCAACATTGACCGTAAGAGCTCGGCCAAGTACATTGTCCTTCAAACATCCCTTGTCGGTCCAGCCCGAGGGCAAAACGCTGGGAGTCTTCGGCTTAGCGGATGCCTGGTAGACGTTGATACGATTTGGGCCGCCACAGTACTCAGAGCTGTTGCCGGAGCAGAGCATGTTGCATCCGTCAAAGCCCGAAGAGCCTGCATTGCGGAGCTGGTTGTCGCAATAGCACTCAGATGAGTACTCCACACCGGCAAGTGAGTAGCCGGCAGCCTGGCAAGCGTTGGTGCACTGCAACACGGACATCTTCGAGTCTCCGGCTACGACGCCAGTCCGATAGGAAAGAAGCCTTGGGCCGGGATCGTTCTGGCAGCCGAGGGATGACCAACCAAGAGGACCGGGGTTGATCACGGGGACAGCGACGCCGTTTGTGAAAACCGAAAGTCTGTCGCTGCCGCCGCAGGCTTTTGAGCTATCGCCGCTGCATGGCATGTTGCAGTCTGCTTCGGGCTCCTTCTGCGAAGTTGAAGCCAGTTGGTAGTCGCAGTAACACTGGAAAGGATGGGTGAGTATGCATGCGATGGAGGAGGACAAGGTGGTGTTGCTTACCTCGCTAGAATATTCGACTCCCGCAACGGAGTAGCCCTTGCTGCTGCAAAATGCTACACATGACTCTTCGGTCATGGCGCTGTAATCTCTGTATCCATCCCGTGACAATTGTCGGATGCCATTGTTGTTGTCGGTATAACAGCCAGAGTACGACCATCCAGTCTGTAGGGTTGAGGAAGCTCTGACATCTCGCTTTGCGATGGAAGCTGCATTGGTGCAAGCAGTCAGCGCCAGGAACCAGCCTGAGATAGAGATTTGAAGCTGCATAGTTATGGGTACAAGAAGAGACAGAAGGATGATGAGCTGGTTGATTCGATATAATTGACATGAACAGTAGGCTGGTTTATAATGACGACGGTGTCATTACCGTCAAGTCCGACTGGGAGTCTGCAGTTGCAGAAGTCCTTTGTGTAACGTACGAGGAATTCCACTGCCAAGGAAGCCATGAACTCAGCTCTCATGGCCATCATGCATATCTAGCGCCGCGAGGAACAATAGTCTTGTTGTCAGAAGCGAAGTTGGGTTGAAAGACTTCCGGGTGAACGTTCCCATTTGGATTCTAGAGGCTGGAGTAACCGTCTGGCTTCGTTCCTGACCTAACTGAAAAGCTAGCTTTTCCCGGCACCTACACAAAGACGTAAATCTTTGCTTCTCGCCGCCACAATCCCTCATCAAACAGGAACGACGGCAAAACTCTGAATGCCATGTTGTAAACCCACGTGTCTGAAGCTTTTTGCCAAGATCTGAAAAGGTACTAAGGATGTAGCCGGCAGCTTTCTCTTTGACCTCAATGGGAACTTGACAACTTGACGGAGCCCATGAGGCAGTGAGAGCTGTGCTTAGCGTCCGGCGATAATTGGAACTAGTATGAAAGCGGCCAAAAACGCCCAGTAACCTCCCACTGAGAAGATTCCGCGTCTTGTTCTAGGGAGCCGGGGGATTAGTTTCGAAACGCACGCTAGCTGGTGATCTTTGTCAGGTTACACAAAGATATCGATCCACAAACGATGTCGCTCAACGATGTCTCAATGCTCTGGGGACCTCCCGCGCCGGTTCCTATCTGAGCGTGTGGGTGGCTTCGCCAAATAAAGATACCCGCTGAATACCTCATGTAGGTAGTTGGGATGAACTATAATTCATTCATGGGACGTCAAATCACGCCGAAGCTTTTTAGACTCTACTAAAGTAGTCAACTTGTCAAATGTCAACCTGGCGAAGCTTGAGCTAAAATGACAATCTAGACTCCCTTCAGTCTCTGGGCGCGGTCGTATTATGCTGAAGCTGATGCTTTCACAAGCAGGAGCAGGTAGACACCTTCAACGCGAAAAACATCTAAAGGGCAAAGAGAACGCAGGTCATAATATCTTGTGGTCACACATAAATTTAGACTCTCGCCAAACAACTTAAGCATGTTAGAACAAACGCAAAATTGACTTTGCTCTTAATTAAAGATGGCCCGTGGCCGCCTCATTTTACACTGACAACAATGAAACATCAAGAGCGCTCAACACCTATGATGTCTCGTAGTGAAATATACAGTACAGTGACCCCTTCTATTCGAGGTAGTATGTAGGCCATTAAGCCATGGCCGTGTCTCTAGAACAGGATCAATATCAGCATGGGTACCGCCCAAGAAAAACAAGTTCACTACCCACCTATGTGTAACCGTCTATGTGCAGATCATTCCGACGCCGCCGACGGGTGCCCGAGTGGTCTGACAAGTTGTGCCACTGCAGCATGCACGGTCGCCAACATCGCCGCAGTTGGCTATAGATTGCTGGTTAGCTTTGGCTCCCTGGTGCTCAGAAACACGTTAATGTAAGTGTTGACTTGCCGCCCTTGGAAGCGCAGTTATCCTGCCTCGCAATAAGGCCGATGTCGACGGATGCGGCAGAGACTGCGGCGACGATAGTAAGGAGAGTAGCGAGAGTGAACTTCATTTTGAATATGTAATGACTTGAGCTTGTGATTTGAGGTGTCGAGAAAGATAGAGAGAGAGAAAGAGAGCGAGAGAGCGAGTGATTTGGATATACGTACTTTGCATGAGGGCATTGCAATGGAATTATATACACATCATTTCCATCCGCTTCCACATCTTTGTAGGCTGGGCACTGATTAGGGGTATCTGTTCTGATGTTTGAGAGTCATTGTCCTGTTTTCTTGGCCCATGGCTCTTCGTTTGGGGATTTACGGCATCTCCACCACATGCCGGTGGACTCAATGACTTCTCAATTGCTTCAGGTGCGATACTCAGAAGCCGGATCTCGGCCAGCCAGCCAGGTGTCAGGCAAACGTACGGTGCTCGCGACAAACTCAATTATGTGGAGCGTGTGGGCTGTAAAGTCGCTGTTGGCGGGTTGAAACCCTGCGAGTTTTGTGAAGTTGCCGCGTTCCCATTGTCTCATGTTTAGTTGCCGTATATTGTAATTGCGTCCATCCTAGTTCACTACTTCCTCTTCACTAATCAACATAGGATATCGGATGTATAGTTTCACTGTCAGTGATCGGCGAACGTCCCTGCTCCCGCATTCTTCGTAGTTTTCGGTCACTGCACTTTGTGCGACTACGCGTATGCCAGTCACAGACCTGACTCGAAGTTAGGCAGCCGAAGAATTATGAGACGATCTAGGGATGAACTGTGGATATCTATTGCGGCAGTCAGTGGCTGATAGTGTCCCATTGCTGTCCTGATTACCTTTCGACTAATTCACTCTGAAATTCAGGGAGAATAGTTGTGAAAGATAGGTTGAGCGGACTTTTACCCGCGTACAACTAAGTGACGATCTTTCGTCTCATCTTTGTCTCAACCCCAGATCTGGGGACGATTCTCCCGGTGCTTCGAGAACACGTCACGAGCTATATGATGCGTTTCGATAATCTTCGAGGTACCGTCAGACAAGATCCTATGGATCGCGTGGGTGTTTCAGGAAGATCTTTGAACCTCTGATCGACTTTGACTTGCTGGTTTGAACGGTAATCAATGATCAGCAGTGTTTCAACCCAATGAGCTGGTATTGGTATGCGAATGCCAAGGCCTCAATCCTGGTCAATTGGTCATATGAAGCTCGGTGTTCCCGTCTTCTAGGACGAGTGATGAGCTAGACGGCCGGTTACACAAGCAACGTCGGTGCAAAGATACATTGATTCGCATGACGTGGTATACAATAGGTTGCTTGCTCTTGTCCTTTTTGGAACAGTGAAATCTTTTCTAAGCCGTCATTCAGGCTTCTACAGCTCCCTGTTCTTGGGTTACCATTCGACACTGCTTTTAAAGAAATCTCTTAGGTCATGTGTCTCGAAGGACTCCCAATTATCCGTTGCTACGATGACGTATGGTCTCAGTTGAAATGAATCCAGTCTCAACGAGAATAGGGAAATTGCTGGATTATACAATAACCCAATCGCCTTTGTCATGCGGCAGACTTGAGTTCTGCCTGTCCCAAAGAAGAGATGGCAGCTGGCTTACTAGTGTGAGGTGCGTCCATGACTCCGAGTCTTCTCGGCATTAGGTCTTAGATATGACCGAGGGTGTTGTTTCCGGAACGTAGCTGAAGTTCAGTTCAACGGGAATGAACAGCCCGAATAGCAGGTTCTAGGACATTAATCGGACCATGTGATATCATCAGTCGCGGGGACAACGATGTCTGCCTGAGTATCAATATCTCAGGTCTACAGGCTATTTGAAAACCCCCAAAATAATGATGGGAAAGGAAGGAGACGGAACACTCACGTTAGAACTCACGCCCCTGCCCAAATTCGAACAGCGTGCCCCTCAGTCAACTCGAACTCTGACTTCATTGGAGTATTTGTTTATTTGATCACTCGATCACCTCGCACACAGCTTGACCTGACCTCGACGACCTAGACGGGCGCTGCTGTGCTGGTGACAGGAATGGGATCAGAGCGGGGTAAATAGGTACCGTAGGAGTGCCTAGGTACCAGGTGGAGGGAAGATCAGGAGTCCGCTGACTTGGGTTCAACTTTCAGGGGGAAGGAGGGACGCCAAGGTAGGAAGGAGCGATGAAGCTAAGGTACCTACCTACCTTACTGCCAATGATTCATATCAAGGTACTTAGTACTGTATCTGTCTTTAGAGATATCTTCTCCATGTCTACGTACGGTCTATTCGCTTCAAAACCACTCTTCAGCATCCCTCCTCATCAAAACCTCACCCCCAGCAAGCGTTCCCCCAGCCAACGGCACCTTCAAAATGCCAGTTTCCACCAGATCCTGAGCCAACCGCACAATCAACCCATCACACCCCCTCGCCGCCATGACATCCACAGTAACAGGCAACATCTCCGTCACGTTCGTCACAGAACTCACGCTACCGACCTCTCCCAGGGGGAAAACATGGTCCGGCGCTCCGCTGAAGACGCTCAGCCGACCGTTGGAAAAGCCAAGCGGCGGGGTGGGCGTCGTGGTCGTTGGATAGCGGTTTCGTAGGGAGGCGCGGCCGGAGGAACCTACGTAGAAGAGGAGGGACGAGGAGCATGTCGATGTCGATGTGGAGGTATTGAGGGCGGGGGTAGAGGGAGGCAGGATCTCGGTGTTGAACCAGTTCATGAAGAGCGTCTTGTTGGCTCTTGCGTCGTCAAGGGCGCTGGCGGGTTGCCTATCACCCCAGCCCCATCGTGCGAGGGGGACGGGGTTGACGAAGGGGAGGCGGCCGTTGTGAGCGGCTGTCGAGTTTGATGTTAGTCGGTGTGTGAAAAGTGTTCCTCAGCTGACAAGTGGCAGAGCAACAGGGCCTTTTTCTTTTCGAAGACGAGAAAAGCAAAGGTACGAGGAAAAAAAAAACACAGAGATAAGCTTACCGGCATAATCAGCATAAAACGGATCACGCACAAGCGGCGTCTGCTCCTTGGTGATGAGCGTGGCATACGTCAACCCCAGGACATCATCCAGCGTCTGATTCCGCACATCCACAGGACCAGTCTCAGCCCAAGCAGACGTCAAATTCAGCGCCGTCGCCTTGGCGCCCAAGAACGCACCCAGGTCCTCCGCAAACTTGTTCAGCATCTGCGCGGCGGCTCCATCGTCGGTAGGGAAGTCAACCGTATACACCGTCTTGGGGTACGTTACCCCCGCCTCGGTCTCAACCAGCGATGTATAGTTCGCCCCGTACAGCACCTTATTGGCCTCATCCCAAATGTACGGATCCCGCGTCAAAAAGCCGGCGGTGTCGAGGGTAGGTGACAACGGCATCACACCATCCAACCCAACGAGACCATGCGAAGGCCGGTTTCCGAAGAGACCCTGCACCG